CAGGAATGACAGAGAGAGTAGTTGGATAATGAAAGAAATTAGAATATTATTTAAGCAGGAGGAAATCGAGAAATTCAGAAACTATTTTTGATGAACCTGAGTGGTACATTTCTTGGAAATTTTTGTAATAGAACTAGAAGGCTATTTTAAAGAGAAGGTAAAATATTACTGTTTAAGATGCCTAACATAGGACAAAATGAGATCAGGAAGAAATAATGTGAGTCACTGCCAAAACATAGGAAGAAGGGATTGGGAATTTGGCAAACTCCAAAGGTATAGAAGAATGTATAGCTGGGTGGTATGGCCTCTAAAATATATTGAAATTATGTAATTAACCTGAAATTAGCAACCTCTCAAGTAAAAATTCACTACCTATAGTTCACTCTAGCACAGAGACCACACACCCTGAAATTAATGAAAATACATGAAATAAAAATCTACTCTTAAGTTAGAACTAAGTTTTCCTCTAAGATCTAAAAAATGATATTAGCATCAAAACCAATATAGCTTTGGGACCAGCAGTTAGCGTAATGGCTATGTCGCTGGACTCCCATGTAGTTGACAGCAGTTCAAGTCCTGGACTCGGGGCCTTAAACTCATGCTGGGCGCGTGTGCGTGCGTGCCCAAGATCCCAAGAGGAGAATGGAGGAGAAGAGATTGCGGTGTGGTCATCCCCCCTGGGGGGGTGATTTCTCGCTTTCTATCTCTGTCTCTCTGGTGAGCGCACATGCTGTCTAGCAAAAAACCTCTCTAAAAAAAGAAAGAAAAACAATATAGCTTCAGAAATTTTCACACACAAACCCGTAAGTCTCAAAGGCCTAATATATCTATGATACTCACCGTCAACTGGTAGATTTTGTGACAAATCTTTAAGTTTCTTATCTGAGAGACTGATTTGCATGTTTTCCAAAACACTTTCCAGATTACTTGTATCAACCTTTCCACCTACAGAAAGAATCAGGAACACAAGGAGAATTGAATGACTTCCGTGAAGGAGAAAATTTCGTTAATCTCTACGTATTTTGGCTATAAGCAAAAATATTGTGACTTCCGATGTTCAAAAGGGTGGACAAAATGGAGTTAGAATAGTAGCCTCTTGCTTGGTCTTGGAAAAAAAAAATCCTGCAAAATGAATTCACTTTCCAATAAAATACAATGAATTGTAAGCAACTGAAGTGGAGATTTGAATGATGGAGTAGATCAGACGTTGGGGGTTTTACACAGCAGATGAGATAATGTCTGTGAAAGTGTCTGTAAGGAATGACAGAGAGAGTAGTTGGATAATGAAAGAAAACTTTCTTCTAAATAGGGATTTAAACTAAGCATTTAAAATGCTTAGTTTAGTTCTTTCAGCTACTGAACTACCCTGAATAACTGTCAATTTTTTTACTTCAAATTTTCAATATAGTTCCAGATTTAAATCTGCTTTTCAACTAAATTTGGCAAAAGCTAAATGTACAAAGCATCAAAAGGAAAGACTATTTGGAAAATGCAGCTATAATTGAAAACTGTAGGTAGGTATGGGATTAAATAGTATGATAGAAGGTAAAATCTGTGAGAGAAAAACTAGAAAATAATACAAATGTAAAGCAAGAGAATCTTATCTTTCTTTTCACCATGCTCTTACCTTTGAAATATTTGATTCCATCTAACAATCTACTTTCATACACATTTCCATCATCTGTAAGAAAAGGTGCAATTTACATCACAAAGTTATAGGTTTAGAAAGACAGTACATTATAGCATTTCATAAAGATACTTTAAAATGATTTGCTTCAGAAATAACGTTGATTTTTGCTCTCCCATGAAGAAAACTCTGAATGCTGTGTCTGAATGAATGCAAATAAATATTTAATAATTAGTGGCAAACAGCATAAAGGAAGATGAACACATCTTTATTTACTTTTCTTATCTGACTTTTTCTTCTTTCTCCTACTTGCCTATTCCTTATACCCTTACTTTTTTTTTTTTTTTTTCAGCTTAACTTGTAGTTCCCCTTTCTTTTTTTTTTTTTTTTTCAGCTTTACTTGTAGTTCTGAGGGTGGAACCAAACATAGTAACAGAAATACTTACATCCAATGGAGGAACTCAAGAAAAGAGAGCCATCGATTCTGAAAGACAGACCTAAAAGTACACTTCCCAAAGGAAGACAAGACTATACTGAAATTTTTTGATTTTCATTCTTTTTTAAAAGTAGGTTATTTAATAGTTATAGTTTTTTTTTTAATTGAGCTGTCCCAAATACTTAGGGCTCACCTTCCTCAAAATCTCTAATAGTATTTTAAATACTTACCATCAACTTGCAGATATTTCACCAATTCCAAGCATTCTTCAGGTGTAAATTCTATCCCCATGTTTTCCAGAATATTTTTCAGATCTTTGACATTAACTTTTTTTCCTTAAAAAAATAGACATAATAGTGGACAATACTGAAAACTAAGTCTTCAAAAATATGAAAGAAACTGTTCATGTTTATATGTCATTATGCTCAAGTGCTAGAAAAAAAAAACAAAGGCAAAGTAAAACGTGTTCAGTGGAGTGAGGAGCAGGCAGAGAATCAGAACTTGCTTCCTTGACCCTAGGGCAAGAACAGCTTTTATAACACAGGGATAAGTGATTTGGTGGTTTAGGAAATTGTCTAGAAAATTAGAATATTGCAAAGGTTGACCTAATAGTGCTGTTTTCCCAAAATTATGATTATTTGACCTTTATTCTAATTTTTAACCTCAACAATTATTGTGTTGATCTAGATTAAGGACTGGTAAACTTTCTGGTAAGGGCTATCTAGTAAATTCTTGAGGCAAGTCTGTTGTAGCTACTTAACTCTGTTGTTGTAGCATTATAGCAGCCATTAAAATACTAAGTGTGGAGCTGCAGGTGGTGTGATGGTTAGGGCGCTGGACTCCCACATGGCCAACCATGGAGCCTCCTGGACCTGGTAGCTTGCTTTCTCAAAATACTAAGTGGGGAGCTGCAGGTGGTGTGATGGTTAGGGCGCTGGACTCCCACATGGCCAACCATGGAGCCTCCTGGACCTGGTAGCTTGCTTTCTCACTCCCCTCCTTCTATTCTCTCCCGCCACTTGCCCCCTGTGAGCACATGTGCCCTGTAGAAATTTTATTTTATTTCTTTTTAATGATTCATTTTATTTATTTATTAATTATTAAATTTGACCAGAGGGAGACAGAAAGGGAGGGGGTGAGAAAGCAAGCCGCCAGGTCCAGGTCTTGAACCACAGTCAGCATTGTGGGAGTCCAGCACTCTAACCATCATGCCTCCAGCCATGTAGTAATTAAAATAAATTATTTATTTAGTTTTATTTCTTATTTTTATTTACTTTTTAATTTGACTAGAGAGAGGGGAGAAAGAAAGGGAAAGTGAAAAAGCAAGCTACCAGGTCTGGGACTCAAACTGTGATCAGGCATGTGGGAGTTCATCATCTCAACTATCATGACATCTGCTATACTGCCCTGTAACAAATTTTTAAAAATATAAAATAAAATAAATCTTTTTTTTTTTTTTAAATACTAAATGAAGGGGCCAGCAGGTGATATGGTGGTTTAGGCAGCTGGACTCTCACATGGTTGACCGTGGTTTGAGTCCTGGACCTGGCAGCTTGTTTTCTCAATTTCCTTCTCTCTGGTCAACTTCAAAAAAATAAAAATAAAAATAATGACAATGAATAAAATTAAGTAATTCTTTAAAAGAAAAACTAAGTGAAGGGGCCAGGAGGTAGCATAGTGATTACGATGTTGGATTCCCAAATGGTTGACCACAATTTGAGTACTGGACCCAGGAGCTTGAAAATCACACCAGATGCATGTGTACATGCTCAAAGTCCCAGGAGGAGAATGGAAGAGAAGGATTGAGGGGTGGCCATTACCCTTTTGGGGGAGGTGACTTCTCACTTTCCCTCTCACTATCTCTATTTTTCTCTGGTGAGTGCACATGCCCTATGGCAAAAACCTTAAAAACAAAACAAAAAATGAAGAGAAGAATGCAACTCTGTTTCCATAAAGCTTTACTTATAAAAACAGACAGAGGGATGGATTTGACAAATAGACAATTTGTTTATTCCTGTTTAAAGATTTTGATTTTTTTCAATGATTAAAATCTGAAGAATATTATTGGGTTAAAAAGTAGAGAAAGTCATGACGTATTTTCATTTTGCAAAAATGCATCATGACTTTTCTAATGACTCAATATTACTGGCAAATATTTTAGAGGATATAGGATACTACAAAATGAAAAAAATAAGTTCAACTATTCCAAAAACTGACTTTGAAATATTAGATGCAATCACTTGTTAACAACAGCCTTGTAAGTACCACTCAGGTGAACAAATAAAACACTGATAGCATTCCAGGTGTCTTTCTCATGTTCTTTTCTAACTCCTGTCTATAATCTTTCTCTA